AAAAAATCGTAAAAAAATGCTAAAAATTCCAAAAAAAATCCCCAAAATTCCCGAATTTTCCCCAAATTTTGCGAATTACCCTGAGGAGCTCCTCGGGCAGGTCCCCGCCGTCGTTGATGCCGCGGTTCATGGCCACGAACCCCCAATTTCCACCTTTTTACCCCCAAAAAACCCCTAAAAATTCCTAAAAAAACCCAAAGAATTCCCAAAAAATCCCAAATTTTCCCAAAAAAACCCAATTTACCCGGAGGAGCTCCTCGGGCAGGTCTCCCCCGTCATTGATGCCGCGGTTCATGGCCACAAACCCCAAAAACGACCCCAAAATCACCAAAAATTCACCAAAAAACCCTTAAAATATCCTCAAAAAATGACCAAAAATTCCCAAAAAATTCTGGAAATTCCCAAAAATTCCCAAATTTTACCCAATTTACCCTGAGCAGCTCCTCAGGCAGATCCACCCTGATCGTTGATGCCGCGGTTCATGGCCACGAATCCCAAACACCCCCAAAAAATCCCAAAAAATTCACCAAAAACACCCAAAAAATGTCCAAAACCCCCTAAAAATTCCAAAAAAATCCCCAAAATTTCCAAAAATTCCCAAAATTCCTCAAATTACCCTGAGCAACTCCTCAGGGAGGTCCCCGCCATCGTTGATGCCGCGGTTCATGGCCATGAAACCCAAAATCACCAAAAATTTACAGAAAATCACCCAAAAAATTCCAAAAAAATCCTTAAAAATGTTAAAAAAATCCCAGAAATGCCCAAATTTTTCCCAAATTTTCCCAAAAGTCCCCAAATTTTGGGAATTACCCTGAGGAGCTCTTCAGGGAGGTCCCCGCCGTCGTTGATGCCGCGGTTCATGGCCACGAACCCCAAAACCGAGCCCAAAATCACCAAAAATTCACCAAAAAACACCCAAAAAATTCCCAAAAAAATCCCAAAAATTCCCAGATTTTCCCCAAATTTTGGGAATTACCCTGAGGAGCTCCTCAGGAAGGTCCCCGCCGTTGTTGATGCCGCGGTTCATGGCCACGAATCACCCAAATACCCCCAAAATCACCAAAAATTCACAGAAAAATCCCCAAAAAATCCTTAAAAAATTCCCCAAAAATTCTGAAAATTCCCAAAAAATCCCAAAATTCCCCAATTTACCCTGAGGAGCTCCTCAGGCAGGTCCCCGCCGTCGTTGATGCCGCGGTTCATGGCCACGAACCCCCAATTTCCACCTTTTTACCCCCAAATAACCCCTAAAAATTCCAAAAAAACTCCAAAAAAAATCCCAAAAATTCCCAAATTTTCCCCAAATTTTGGGAATTACCCTGAGGAGCTCCTCGGGCAGGTCTCCCCCGTCGTTGATGCCGCGGTTCATGGCCACGAATCGCTCGGCCGAGGGTTTGTCGCGAACGTTGGGGTTGTGCAGACTCGTGTTGAGCATGATGACGGCAAAGGAGAGAACGTAACAGGTGTCTGCGGGTGACAGGTGAGAAATGGACAGGTGAGACAGGTGAGATACACCTGGGAGGGTCAGTGACACACCTGAGATATCCTAAATACACCCAAACACACCTGGGACAGGTGAGAGACACCTGAGACACACCTGAGAGAGTCAGTGACACATCTGAGATACCTTAAACACACCTGAGATACACCTGGATACACCTGGATACACCTGGATACACCTGAGATATCCTAAATACACCTGGGATATCCTAAACACACCTAAACACACCTGGGATACACCTGAGATATCCTAAATACACCTGGATACACCTGGACACACCTGGGATATCCTAAACACACCTGAGATATCCTAAACACACCAGGATACACCTGAGACACACCTGGGACACACCTGAGAGACACCTGGAATGGTGAGACGCACCTGAGATACACCTGAGAGGGTCAGTGACACACCTGAGAGACCTTAAACACACCTGAGATACCCTAAACACACGTGGGACACACCTGGATACACCTGAGACACACTTGGGACAGGTGAGACGCACCTGAGACACACCTGAGAGGGTCAGTGACACATCTGAGATACACCTGGAATGGTGAGACACACCTGAGATACACCTGGCACCCCTCAAATCACACCTGAGGGACTCAAAATACACCTGGGATACCCAAAATACACCTGGGACACACCTGGAAAGGTGAGAGATACCTGACATACACCTGAGAGCATCAGTGACACACCTGAGATATCCTAAACACACCTGGGACACACCTGGATACACCTGGGATACACCTAGGACAGGTGAGACACATCTGGGACACACCTGGCGCTCCTCAAATCACACCTGAGGGACTCAAAATACACCTGGGACACCCAAAATACACCTGGGACACCCAAAATACACCTGGGACACACCTGGGACAGGTGAGAGTCTGGATAAACCCAGGTGTATCAGGGATATACCCAGGTGTATATTTTACCTGTGCAGGTGAACACCCCGGGGTTGCACAGGCAGTGCTGGGTGTATCCCAGCTGTCCCCAGGTGTGTTCAGGTGTATCAGGGATATCCCCAGCTGTGTATTTTACCTGTACAGGTGAACACCCCGGGTTGCACAGGCAGTGCTGGGTGTGTCCCAGGTGTGTCTGTATGAGCTCAGGTGTATCCCAGGTGTATCAGGGATATCCCCAGCTGTGCCCAGGTGTGTTTGGGTGTCCCCAGGTGTGTTACCTGTACTCAGGTGTGTATTTTACCTGTGCAGGTGAACACTCCCGGGTTGCACATGCAATGCCCAGGTGTCTCAGGTGTTTTACCTGTACAGGTGAACACCCCCGGGTTGCACAGGCAGTACCCAGCTGTCCCCAGGTGTATCTCAGGTGTATCAGGGATATCCCCAGATGTCCCCAGGTGTGT